GAAAACAGCAATTGCGTGTCTAATGTACAACAAAGGAAAGAAGTTAGATTGTAATAATTATAAAGGAATATCATTACTTAATATTACATATACAATTCTTACAGCAGTTGTAAACAATAGGCGGACAAGATATGTAGAAGGAATAATAGGAGAATACCAAAATGCTTTTAGAACCAATATATCTGCAACAGATAATATATTTGTTATGCGCCAAATATTTGAGAAGTGCTATGAGCACAATATAGAACTACACATGTAGATTTTAAACAAGCCTTAAATAGAATTAATCACACTAGATTAATGGAAAGATTGGAGGAAGTAGGTATCCCAAAGAAGTTAATTAGATTAATTGCAATGATTTTACAGCACACAACTGGTAGAGTTAAAATTGAAAATGAACTGTCAGATTCCTTTGAAATCCATTCAGAAGTTAGACATGGTGATCCACTATCAGCAAATTTATTCAATTTAATATTGGAAACGGTAATTATAAAATTAGATATAAGTTTTCAACTATCTCAGCTCAGTGCCTAAGCAGATGATTTGGTTATAGTAAGTAGGACGAACCAAGAGAGTTACTGTTGAACTGTTTAATGCACTATAAAAAGACGCTGAAAAAGTAAAACTCGTAAACGAGCAAAAAACAAAGTACATGTACTTTATCAGAAACTCACGACTCTCAATAACAGAAATACAAATAAATAACTACCAATTCCAAAACTTAAGTTATTTAGGATCTACCTCAAATGAAAAAAAATTAATCCAATCTGAAATCCATGAAAGAATAATAAAATGGCAGAAGGCATATTACGCCAATCTAAAACTGCTAAAATCAAAACTGTTAACAAAATATAAAAATGATAATAGACCTTAACACGCTCTATTGTTACATATGCAGCAGAAATGTGGACATTGAACGTACAGACCTAAATTATCTACGTATATTTGAGAGGCGGACTATACGTAAAATATATGGGCCAATACATGTTATTGCCGACGTATGGAGGATAAGAACTAACCATGAAACGGAGGACTTACTAGAAGGGGAGGATATATCATATTTATTACAGCTCAAAGAATTATATGAATGGGATTATTCAAGGAATGCAGGTAAACAAACCAAAGAAGATAATGGAATGGATGACAACAGGAAGACTAAGAGTGGAAGACCAAGATCTCGGATGGATGACGTGTGTTAAGAGTAGAGGAGGGGAAAAAGAGGGGAGAGTGAGGAGAGGATAAGAAAATATGGAATGACCAAGACCCACAAAGGGTTGTAGAACTAATGGAAGAAGAAGAAGAAGAAGAAGAAGAAGAAGAAGAAGAAGAAAAAGAAGATGATGATGATGAAGAAGAAGATGAATATGAAGAAGAAGATGATGATGAAGATGAAGAAGAAGAAAAAGAAGAAGAAGAAGATGAAGAAGAAGAAGTCTTTAAAAATCCTGCCCTGCATAATAACCTACATAGAAACCCGCATAATAACCTTTGTGTTTGAAATAAATTCAAATGCATACTGACGGAAGTGTGTCATTAATGAGGAGAACGAATGAACATCAAGTGACATTAATGAGGAGAATAGTCCAAAACATTCATTTTGTGAATTTTTAGAAGATAAACCGTTTGTATCAACATGGTAAAAGAATTAATCTTGCTTCATGACAACAGTCGACAGCTGGCCTCATGGGATCGTTCTAGGTTCCTAAACCTAAGTTTGCAGTTTCAATCTCGCCTAGGGCGGTGGATTTTCATGGGTCGGAAAATCTTTGGCGTTTCATGTGACGCCTGTTGAATATAAAAGAGCCTTTGCGAAATACCTGGCAAAATTAATTCCTCTGACAATTCTCATTCTAATAAGATCCCGTTTCAGGGACCGACACACGAAATGGATGGAATGACTAACACAAGAAATAGAGTGGAATGAAGGACCTTTGTTGTGTCGATCCCTGGCGGCGAATACGGTGATCAAGAAACAGTTGGTAAGGTTGGGGCTCCAAGCGGAACCAAATTTGATAATCCTGAAGAGGAGTGCTCATATAGGGAGTGGGCAATGGAAAAGTTTCCAAAGGACGTTAGACAATAATAATGATCAAGTCGTTATCTTGCGCAATGACAAAAAATAATTGACATTTTTGTCTTCTAATTTATCATGACAGAATGATCTAGATTGGTCTTATCGCTTGGGGCTAAGCCGCTACCGTCGCAAAACTTTGTAAAGGTAGTAACCATAGGTAGTTTTATTTACCATCAAAAAACGGTCCAAACTGTGTGTGACATATGGGGAGAAGTACCATCTGTGCCCATTTTCTAGAGCTCCGGAATTCCTAAGCTCCGTTCTTTCACTAAAATTAAATTGAATTATGAATAAAGGTAGCAACAAGTTGTTTTGAGATAATTTGTAAACTCATATTGATATAATTTGTTAAAATATTCGCTTTGTGTCCATTAACCTGATATTACCCAACATTTCCTTAAAAATGTCATGAAAACCTTTGATCATAGAAGATAATGTAATTCTTTGAATTGACCTTCGTAACTGTGAATTAAAAATCAAACCCAAGTAGCCTTAATAATTATAGTATAATTATTACTCGTTTAGCACACGTAAGATTTCAATTTTAATGTAACAGATACCATTGTATATGAATCGTAAAGTCACTAGAATAGTAAAACCACAAATAAAAAACTGTTTATCTACTATAAATTTCATAAGCGAAGAACGTGTATATCCAATAGCGTAGACAAAGTTGAAAACAAAAATTATTAATTCAATTGCTGACTATTTCAAGCATTACAGTATTATTTGTAGCGAAACTAATACAGGGAAATGAAAAACATAAGAAAAAAAGAAAAATGAAAAAAAAAACTTATCTCAAGATTTCTAGAAAAAGAAGAAATTGTATGAACGTTTTTCATTAATTCTGAAACACAATATTCAGCCTGTTCTTCTCTTTAATGCTGACTGATTACGCAGCTACTGTTTTTTCTTTAATTTCTTAATAATTGCTTCCAGTACAGTACAATTCAGTTGTTGAAACAGTGTTATTTCTCATTATAAAGTGTAATCACATATTTGACAGATCTAGGAAGAAAATACTCAATCTAAATATCATTTTACCTCATAATATATTAGTATCTTATATAAATGCAAAAAGCTGTAGCGGTAACTGCGACACTCCGTATTTCAATTTAACGATTCAATCTGATGTAAATCTGATTAATTATTTGAAGGAGTGCTAATGTTTAGCATTATCCCTGATACTATTAATTGCGCTGTGTATTTCAATGGCGTTTGACAATCTGATCGAACTTCCATGTATGATATAAAAACTTATTATTATGTAGCATTGGTCTGTGACATTAATTGCACAATGCAATTCAATGTTATGCCTTAGTTTGACGTAACTTTAATATGAAAGAATTAATATGTGCAGCGCGAAACTGCGAGAACACTGATGTTAAGCCAAAGTCTGATCTGAACTGTAGTGCCATCGGAGAAAAAAATAAAATTTAGCTTAGTATTTTAATGAGACGACCAATATACGAGCATCTCTTATGGCTACATGCTACAGGCCAATATATTTCACAACAGAAGAAAATAGACCAGAAAAACTCAAAACTTGGATATTTTGATTAAACGGCGACGTTCGACGTGGCGTATGTCGTGGCAAAACCAAAATGCCTCGGCAGATTCAAACATATTCATAAATATTTACCTTGATTTCTCGAAATATCCATCAAACGTGGACGTCTCGCAATCTTGCGAATTATATGAAAAAATGTTATGGTGCTGATAATAAGGATAATGATGGAGAGACCAGTGCCACGAAACACGAACGGTAAACGAGAGAACTTCGTATAAACCTGTTACACCCACCACAAATTCCGCTCGACATGACCTGAATCTGAATTTAGTCTTCATTATCCTCTCAACAAGAGTTTATATCCTGAGCTCTATTTCACTTCTAAGAAATAATATTTTCAGTCACTTCCCTATTAATTCTTCCCCTTGAGTGTTTTTGTGGGCTACGGTAGCAGAAGAACATTTCTTCTAGTGCAGGGTGTGCCGCGGAACAGCTTTGTGCCAAATAATTAAGATCCGCGAAAGTAATTTAACAAGGAAAATATAAAGACATAAAACGCTTATTGAATTAAATATTTCATTAACGTTATTTATTGTCATTGAGACTCTAAGACGAAACATTTGATTTTGAAATCAACGTTTTTAAAATGTCAATAACTATTTCAATATGTCAATAACCATAATATTTTGGGGAATTTTGAGTTTGAATTCGAATTCAAACAGGCTCCCTCCTATTCAGTGGAACCGCTATGTTCTTCACGACGAAAGAATGTACCGCGAGCAAAAAGGCTTGAGAATTCCTTATTCTAATGAGTGTTCCGTCCCGGGATGAATACTACGCCGCTTCGAGCACCGAATCTCCTACTCTCTTCCTGAAGCGAGCCCATCCCGCCGCGCGGTGCGTTTCCTGCGTGGGAGCCGACCCTGCGCGAGAGATGCTGGCCGGACGCGTACCTGTCCGCCGCGGCGGCGGCGGCGGCGGCGGTTGTATCGGCGCGGCGCGGGCGCGGCGAGCGTTGGCCGAGGCGCGACCCGCGTTTCGGTCGCCCACGCGCGCCGCCGCCGCCGTTGCCACCGCGGCTGCGGCATCGGCCAGCTTTTCGTGCGGGCCGCGCCGCGCGATTCCCCCGAGCGCACGCCGCGCGCGGCCCGTGCGTGGCACACGGTGAGCGAGCGTGCGGTGTGCGTGCGTGCGAGTGCGAGCGCGCGCGCGGCAGAGTACTTGAGTAGGCTTGGCGGGTGCCGCCCGCCTACTCGAATCGCGGAGAGTTGTGTCGGTTCCTCTATGAGCATGCCGGAGTAACGCCGGCTAAACGGGGTGCGACCTGCGAGATATTCGCAGGTCCTTCGCTGAGCTACCCGATTTGAACTTAGCCAACGATGGAAATATTCATCGATTTTGCAGAATGTTGGGAAAATGAATCCACCCACCGAGCACCGAGGTGTTCAGCAAGCGAGCGCGCGAGGTGCGTGTGCGGCCGAGTTTTTCAGTGGGCTCGGCGGGTACTGCCCGCCTACTCGAACCACGGAGACAACTCTCGTCTCGTCGATGCGAATACCGGAGCCGCGCCCGTTAAACGGATTGCAATCTGCCAGCTATTGCCTTAATTCGAGGAAGACGTCAGGCTGCTTGGCCTTCAGTATCGGATATGAGCTAAACGAGTAGCGGAAATACGTATTCTTTGATTTTGTCGGCTAGGATAGTCGGCTAGTCTTGAGAACTTGAAATCATCTCATCGGACCGACCGCTTAACTTCCCGTGTTGGGGAAGAGCCAGGAGTTAAAATTCTACCTAAAATTGTCGGTGGATGAAGCAATAACATTATTAGAGCATGGGTTTACTCCTAGCAAAAGAGTATTCAAGAAAATTATAATTAATCTTATTTTACCGTTTTGTAAGTTTTCTGTTTTGTAATTATTATTTTCTCCCTTTTATAAAATTCATTTTTACGTACTCTTTCGGATCCACCTTTGAAAAATAGTACACTACCCGCCGGGGTAATAAGATAATTTCTTTCCGATTGTTTCTTTCTTTCTTTTTTTAGAAGGAAACGACTAATGGCTGTAACATTTTTGAACATGGCAAGAAAGTGAGATTATAGATATTCACGCATTCAAAGCTACGAGAAAGAAGCGTTTACCGCCAGAAAACAATGAATTTTCGTCCTGTTCCAATTTCGAAATAGATTAATAAATCGCGAGATTTTCTGAAAATATAATCATATTCGAGAGAATTATATTCATATAAATCATGTAATTATATTCGAGTTCCTAATGACGTTCGAGATGAGAAGTAAGGAATGCGGAACGTTTTCCTGAACAACACACACTGTAAGAATTCGTTCTAGCTTTTGGAGTCACGCAAAAGGAATTTGATTCTTGGAAAACGCCTCGGAAAAATGACCGCTGTGTAATTCATAGAGACAGGTTTGTTTCCTTATAATTTTCACCATATGATAACAAAAAATAATGTCATTATAGTATATCATACTCAAAATGAACGTCTGCGAACACAAAAGTGAAAATTTGATTATCGTATTCTGTACTTATTCTCAAGTTGATCAATTTAGTTCCAAACTAGTACCTCATGTGATCAAAGGAGAATGCGACTACGTGCAAGGCTGTGACTTCATGCTTCCAGTAAAACTACAGGAGATTAAGAAAAATTATTGTAAGAAGCCGATGCCCCGATTTGCAGGTTAATTCCAAGTAGCAAATTAGCTTGACCGTAGCGTTCTCTCCCAGAAAAATGTTCCGTACATGAAAATAAACTAGGTTCAGAACATTTGCCTTTCTCTAAGATACAAAACTGAAACTCCGAAACGCGGGAATAGCCCGTCCACTCGCAGTCGGCTGCGAGGAAGAGAACTGGAATTGGCGTTCCAATCTTAATAGCTATTGCAGCGATAGTACTATCGCTTCTTCATCCGTACGACCAAGAGCGCGTTGTTCCAGACTCGCGTCTCGCGAAGGGAGAAAGATCCGCCCAACCGGGAGGCGGCTTGAGGGGGGCGGCGACAGCACGTCCGCGGCGCCCTGCACCGCGACGCCCTGTGCCAGCGTCGGGCCGTGTCGCCGTGCCGATCGCGTCGCCGCGCGTGCGCCGGCGTGCCGTCCGTGCCGGGGCGGCGGGGGCGGCGGCGGCGGCGGCGACTCGCGGCTGGAGGGCGCAGCGCGCGTGCGCTCGGGTACCGCCGACGAACGAAAATAAAAATGTGTTGCGAATATTTTCGAAGCGATGCGACGCGAACCGACGCTCCGCCTCGACGCGGTGTGTAGCATTGTTACAGCCGTTGTTGCAGCGAGCCGCCTCTGCTGGGCCTGCCCTTTTGCCAATGGCGAGCGCGCTTTTGGCACGGTGTCTACTTGCGAGGTAAATTTCCACGAATATTTTACGTTCATGCATTGTAAACCAAGGCGATGCGTTCATTACCTCGACCGGGGCCTCCCGACACCTTATAGAAGACCAGTTTCCTTCTTTTTGTTACCGCGTCCACATTTGTCATGTTATGGCTTTGTCCAGTTCTATTCCGACTGAGCTAGCCTGTTCTGTTTCTCGAGTCGCCTGGGGAATTTTTTCGCGCCTACACATGGTAAATGTTCAACCCACCAACCGCACAATCTGTGCGTCCCCCTCTCCCCATCTTGCCCCACTCCTTGCCAGATCGCAGCCCCCGCTTACGTACAACTCTTCTGTCGGCTCCACCCTTTTTCTCTGGCTTATCCCTTCTCTCCTGTGGAGTGAAGCACGCGTCTGCTGTTTTGCTCTGTCTGCGGTGCGCTCTTTTGCGTGTGACAGTATTGCTAGAGCGTTCGCAGGATTTAAAATATGTACCGCGATTTTGTTTTTCTGTGTAACAATCGTTGTTTTCATTATTTGTGAATTTTAAAACATGTTGGTCTGGAATATGGACAATGAAATGGTAAGTGACTTTACTTGCACTGACTGGACGATGAACTAACAACAATGGCACGCCAAAACGCATAGTGTTGCAACGTATACTTCCGAAATTGTAACGTAATGTGCACTCGAATTATTATTTCGTGTATCTACAATCTTGTATTTCCAACTGAAAAGGGATGTGTTTGTTTAATATTCAGTGTCATTAACTTTTCTGTTATTCCACATATTATTTTTTTTAATCATAAGTGATTTATGTTTCTCTAAATTAATATCTAAAGTGCGATTTTTTGTGCATCAGTGCATGGAATGTTCTTAATCATGTGCATTGCTTGGTGAACGTACAGACTGTCGCGTAACAATGCAAATGCAAAGTGCGCGCCTTCGCAGCGGCCCAAGAGCCGGTCCATGCACGCCCTTTATGAAAGTGTATTTTAGTTGCGAGTTCGTAAAACGAAACGATGGTTTTATTGTGCCAGGATGCGTGCGCGCATTGGGCCTTTTTTGACAGCCTGTTGCGTTGCGTTAACGGTTTAAATTTAGAAAAGTAGAACTGAGAAGTGGATAGCTATAGAATCGCCGGACGGCTTGCCTCTTGCAACCTATACCGAATATGGGCCAATCTCGAATTTCGTAGCGGGGCGCCAAATTAAGAAATAAGGGGAGGCTTAGACTGGTACTAGGAAATGCTTAATTTTAGCATTGGCTGTGCCGTGAATGGGGGAATGGAGACAAAACGTGCTTCAGTGTTTGTTTCAAGGAAAAAATCTGTTTAGGCGAGCGTAAAAGTGCGGCAGTTGAAGATTATTCTAGTGGAATGTTTAGGGACTGAAAACGGACGTAGGATCACTCCACCAGACCAACACTGCGCTGGAAGACCGTATTGTCAAACACTACAAGTAATATAGAGTGCACAGTAAAGTTATATTAACATATTTTCGATTTTAAATTCAGTTCTTTTACTTAAAAATTAAAATACATGTTATTAGGAATCGGTATTTTAGTTGAAGATTTTACATTTTCAATAGGTATATTCAAATTTGATGGTTAGATTCTAAAATTGGCAAACTGTAAATCTGAGGATTTAACTTTATTTTGTGACTAATCTTATATGTTGGTTATTTCAGTAAATTTGTAAAAATTTGCATTATTATTATATATTGACAGTCATAGAGCAATTAACATTGATGTAGATCTTTATAGTAATTTATTTTGTATACCTCTGTGTGATGTTACTAATAAAGCTCATGTTACTAAACATAAGAGTAATTGCTATTTACTGTTATTTCTCAGTGTTATCAAAATAAAGATATCCTTCCATCTGTGTATAAATAAATAACATCCATCAATAATGGTTTTTTACAATCGTTTTGGATATCTTTATTTGTGTTCACTGATGAGTGACAATACACTCCAAATCCAGTTCCTGTTCCTCCTTTTGCTTGTAAATAGAGAAGTTTGCAATACATTGGATATGGTGCACTTATTTTCGTACTGATTTTTGCTAACTAATGTGAATAAACATTCACTGGTGAATGTTCTTCTTGTTTGGTTGATTTCATAATAAATTAAACTAACTGTAAAAATTACCATTATTACAATTATCCTGATTAAGATTAATTATATTTAACAGTCATTTTATTTGTATTTTGTTAACAACTATTAAGGACCAAATATTTGGGAAAGTTCTTCCAACTCATGTTACTGATAATTTTTTACTACAAAATAATATTTTATATAATTTGCTTTTCATTACACTTTAAAATTAATTGAACAGTTTATGCATCTTAAAAAATGAGAATAAATTGCAAGATTCTATGACACTATAATACTAGAGATAAAAAATATATTGCATTGAAGTTATAAAATTTGTTGATCCTTGTGGAATAAAAGTAGCATTCTTTTCCAAATAAAGCCAGTATCTGAGATTAAAGAGTTATACATTCTGAGAATAATACAAAACTTTACTGAAAAGAGTAAGTACATTATAAATATTGTTTGGTTAAATTGCAATGATCGTTGAGGAAAATTAGGTTTAAACACAGCTTTCTATAAGCTTATGCTTATATGATTCTTCCTCTGAGATAAGTAATTTTCTTTTTCATCTAAGCAGAAATTATGCAAACAGAAGAGGTCAACCCTGAAGCATTGGATGAGATTCCGATTCTAAACCCTCTGTCAAATATTGAAATGACGGTGAAAGAAGAAATAGAGCAACCTGTGGAATTAGCTGAGAAGACAAATGTCTTACTAAATGAATGCATGTCAACAGAATCAACTTCTCAATTTTCTGCATTAGATGAACATCACCACAGCTTTGAGGATTCAACTATAGGACATAGATACAAGTATGTAATGATCAATTTTTGAAGTAATTAAATTGTTGTTTGTAATGGTTTTTCATAAAAGTTTAGAAGTTTAAACCCAGACTGGAATAATTAAAATTTGTATGCTTCATATTTTCACAAAAATATATTAAAACTTACTTCCCTACTAATTACATATTTTTGTTATTAAAACCTGAAATTTTTCACGATTATGTGTTAAACTGAAAATTATATTATTCCAATTATGATTTCTAATTAGTATTTACTATCCTTCATTGTTCCCTAGTAGTCCAATTGATAACATAAGGCAAATTCACATTCCCTTGCCAAGGGATAGAATACTAAACAGTACTCATGAGAGTTCAGCACCCAATTCAACATTGGCTCAATCAATTGCTCCCACGACAATATCTTCAACATCCCAACAAAAGACTGAGAAAGAGAGAGGAAGGTGAGATATTTCCTTTTTTTTCTGTACATAAAATAAGTTTTTTTGAAAGCTTTCTTTAATTTTATATTATTAAAAATATGTAGAGAATGACATTATTTTTAAAACCCAAATATTTCTTTTGGCATTATTTTAGGTTCTGAACTTATATTTATTCATATATCAAAGTAACAACTTCAGGCAATGTTGCAATTAATATCTTTTCAAAAACCAGAAACTTCACACTAAAGAATTTCCATTTCAAAAATAACACATCTGACTCTGAAATTATTCTGTAGTTTGATAAATACATCTTTATTTTAACATCATTTGGCATAAATATCTGCAAATGACATAGTTCAGTCTAAAGAAATGAATTCAGTTTTCTAATTCCAATCTATTTTTGGGTCACTGAAATAATTGGAACTACTTGTATACAAAATATCATATATCACTATGCATTAATATAATTTAACTTGTCATAAAAATATGGAATTTCAGCTTTTAAAATGCACCCATAATTGCTTCTTTTGTACAAAATTAATCAATCAATAGTTTTGGAAGAACACTTAAGCAGTGAAACACAATAAACAATTTTCACATTCTATTTGTTTTTGCAATTGTTGTAAATAAAAAATTTGGAACTTTCTCAAATGATCAAAAATACCATTGACAAAAAAGGAGAAATTTCTCCCAAAAGTGCTCTTCAATATTCTATTTCCTAATAAAAAAGATATACAAAAAGTAACGATTTACAAAGTTAATAATTACTCATATTTTTCTACCAAAATCTTTGTATCTTACTCAATATTTGAAAGTCTTCTTTGTGATATAATTCAATAGAAAATGAATAATATTTTCTTAGAGTTCATAGCTTAATAGCTCATAGAATTCAAGCAATTCATCAGGTGATACTACGTATGTTTGGTGTTTTATTGATATTCATATTTTGCCCATTGAGTAATTGACCTATCATTGAGACAATGTGGCATCATGTTTATGTTTAAACAAAATTGTATTAACACACTAAAATTAGAAGATTAAAAGGACACTCATTTATCTGTACTCAAGACTCAGACCAATAATTTAGAAGTTTTGTGTAAATAGCATAAATTCATTAATTCATACATTATTTTGTCACAACTCAACATAAGCTATTGAGTACAAAAAGGTGTTAAAAAAATTTCAGATTATCTTATGGTTAAAATAGCCAGCTAAAGTACTTTTTGTCACATCAATATTTCATGGCAATAGAATATTTTTTGTGAAAACAAATGATTCAAAAAAATTTTTAAGAATGTTTATTATTTTTTCCAGGGGGAAAAGACGTTCACGATGGAAGTTAAAATTTCATCATCAAGCTCTGCCGCCTGAATATCTAGATCATTACGAGGCCCAACAAGCTGCTGCTGCGGCAGCTGCAGCAGCTGCCACTAAGCCGGCTAACACAAAAGCAGACAGTAGAAACAAAGGCAATTCAGCATCAAAATCATCCTCCTCTGTTACTACCAAATCACCCACAGTAGACAAGACTGATAAGTTAATGTTGCCATCAACACAATGTTTCATCAAAATTGAAAAAGAGACACCTAAGTTTGATGTAGCTTCATCCTCGTCATCTGGAAATAACAGTGTGATGGATCATCTGCATATATTACCTATACAGGCTTTATCAATAAGTGATGATAATGATTCCAACAGCAAGATACAGGATGAGATAAGTATTATTAATGAAAAGTCAAGTCTGCTGTGCGGGAAATCCACTTTAAGCAATGAGAGATTTGTTTCTGGAAAAGGACTACTTGGATCTCTTTTGACAAGTACAATAACCTCTGAAATTAGTAATAGAAATACAAATGAAAATGAGCGCAAAAGAAAGTCAGTGATCATGTCTACAAGTAGTGGAAATAGTGCCAATGCTACCATAAGCAGACCTCCTACACCAACGAACAACAGTAACACTAATAACAAGTCAAGAAATTACCAAGACTTGCCATACATGGGAGAGATTACCCTTGATAATATGAAGCCAAGACGAGGTCGAAAACCAAAGAAAGCAGATATCTGTCATCTCATATACAAGAATTATGGAACAACTGTGTTTCCTGGTTCAACAATGCAGAATAACATTACAGAAAATGAAGAGTGGTCTAAAAGAAAAGCTCCTGAAGCTTCGCAAACTATGACATCTTTACCACCTTTAAATGTGCCAGAGATCAGACTGAAACAAGAAAGTTTCTCTGAGCCCTCTTTAAAGTGTAAACCTTTTGAATCTCTTAAACAATCTCCCCCAGTAAGTCACAGTGATGTGCAAAACAGGATCATTAGCAGTCTTTTAGAGAAACGGCTCATGACATCTCAAGAAGGCAAAAAATCAACATATAGTAACTCGTGTTTTTCTTCAAATACTTCAGAGTTTGAAAGAAATGTTGATATAACAGTAAACAACCATGACTCATGGACTGAGAATGGGAAACGAGCCGTGAATATCAGTGATGAACCTTTGAATCTTTGTGTAAAAGATTTAAATCAGCTCAAGATTAGGCTTCTACGAAAACATGGAAATTTCTATGAGCCCAGAGCTAACGACATTATTATCAAAAGTGAACCACCATCTCCCAGCAATAATCAAGAGACAGACATATGTGAAACCCATCATGACAGTACAACAAAAGTAATAGATGAAACTGATTCAATAGAAACTGTTAGAAGTCAAATGAATCCTTTACTTCACAGGAATGAAAATGAAAACAACTCAGAGCCCTTTACATTTCATCAAAGTGACTCTTCTCAAACCACTACCAGAACTCCTACACATCTCCCCGAAGAACCTGGATCTACTAACAACTCTGCTCTCCCAGGAGGATACATCTATTGGCCTAGTGCAGGCGTGTTTGTGCATCCCATGGCACTTCAATCACAATTTTTATACTACCAAAAAATGGGTGCAATTCCTCTTGTTCCATTATCTTCAGCTGAGCCTCAAGCTTTCATGCCATCCCATGTCCCACATGTCAATTTAATTCCTCATTTAAATTCTGCATTACCTCAGAGTCCACCCATAGTTGCCCCTAAGCTTGTTCAAAAGAAGGACCTGAAGGCATCAGCTAACAAAACACTAATTCCAAAGGCGTTTTCTATGATGATGGACACAAGCCCAAAAGCAACTACATCAATACCATCCAGTGAAATTCCTTTTTCAAGACTGAAACGATTAGCCCCGCTGGGAAATCCTCCCTCATCAACAGCTCCAACAAAGAGAAAGAGATCTGCAATTTTTATTCCTCCAATGCCTAGTGAAAACAGCACAAATCCTACAACAGAAGTAAGCATTTGTAAATTCAAATTTACTGGGGGTGCCAAACCCAGCCTTCAAGAAAAAAAAATGCTCTCTGTTGATTCCGGTGGTAATTTTCGATATTATAGTGGAACAGGAGACAAGTCGATGAGAGGCTATGAGTTCTTTCCACGAGAGACATTACAACAATCTGGAACCTCAGGTGGCACCTCTGCTGAGCAGTTCCTAGCTGCATCTACTGTGGGAAACAGTGAAAAAATTGTCGGGAACACTGCTGTAAGTTTCATTCCAGATGAAAATAAACCTTTGCACTTACAACATTTAACTGGTATATCTGAAAATCCATCGAAGGTTGATACAGTGAGCATATCTCCAGACACAGAAAATGGGGTAGGGAGTAGTAGTTCTCATTTTGATCAGCAATCACAAAGTGGATGTGTTCAGAAAAAAACAGACTTTTTGACCAAGGGAAGAAATGCTAGTGTTAGTGGTGATAGTGAACAATTTGCATCAGGAGGTAGAGAAGATGACCCAAATTCTCAAGTTCGAATTCGTAGAAAGAGAAAAACCCGGAAGTCTCTTGCAAGGGAAAAATTGGAACAAACATTCAAAGAAAAAGGATTTTTAATACAAACACAACAATTAGAATCCGCAGAGGGCGCTACTTATTGTAAATTTCGGCAACTTCGCAAATTTACTCGTTATTTATTTAGAAGCTGGAAAGATTATCTTCCAGGGAATGTCAGAGAGATGTCAGTTGCAGCTGGAGTAGCAGGACCAGAAACATCACCTTCAAGTGAAGTTGGACAACCAGAATCGGAAATTGAAGGGGAATTATCATGTAGCAATTCTCCCACACCATCTGTTCAAAACATATCTGAAAGCGTAAAGTCATTTCCAAGTATCTGATACTATATATTTTCATCATTTTGTTTTCTAAACTTTCTGATAGGAATTATGTATCTCAATTTAATACTTGGAAAATGTTGTTATTTCTTTTTTAATTACAAAGAATGAAAAATGGTAATATTTTTTTGAAGTAAACTAAGTGATTTTGAATATAATTTTCTGTAGATTTTGATTTGATAAAAATTAAACCAGTCCTAGCTATGTGTATTGTAATGTCCTGTACAAGAACAAATGGTGAAGTATATTATAACATTCTATGCTAGAACATATGGTGTAATGCTGGAAACTAACATGAACGATGGCTTGTGGTGTTCATCTGTGTTGTTTATGTCCAAAGTTAACAATGTAATAGATTACTATGTAATAGATTTACTCACACAGCATAATAATTAAATAAAATTAAAATGTCATAAAAATGTTCATGAAGTTTCTGCGTTGAAGATACTAAATTAATTATTTATAATTGCATTTAGCAACTGACATTATTATGGTTATGTTGCAAGACAAGTTGAATACATAAAAGCTGTGTTTTTCACAGTGTCTTTAAAAATGAATAGGAATTTATTTCAGTGTGACTATGTAAATTGAGTGGTACTTATTGAATTTTCTTCTTGTAGTCATTGAGTGATCTACAAAATTAAGTGACATGTATTAAAACTACAGTCATGTAGTCAGTGGAATCCCTACAAATACATTAATGTGATCAACTTATTTATTAATAGTCTTGTATATACTATTATAATCTATTATAATTAATATTAAAAAATTATTCAGGAATTGTACAATTTTCAACTGAACGTCATTTTCTAGTTATTTTACATATATGTTTTCAAATAAATTGAATACATTTTTCTAATTGATATTTGTAATGGCAGAATGAGAAACAACATGCCTTCAAAAATACCATGGTAACTTGTAATGTCATCCGTTAATATCATCAAATATTGTGTGAAGGGTTACTTGAAAATACATTTAGGAGAATATTCATGGTTGTGTAGTTGTATATGTTTTTCATTAAAAATATAATCATTTTAAAAATTGGTGCCAACTATTTTACTCATAATTTTTGTCACATTTTTTGTCTAATAATTGTTTTATTTCATGTGTTCAGATGTTTCATATCACAGAGCTATTTCCTCTCTCATTACTGATGCTATTTCTGTTATAATATTACTATTAACATCTTTTATATATAGCTCATTCTGGGTTGTACTTTATCTTCAACTACATAAAAGAAAATGGTGTTATATTTATGAGCTAGTCCACAACTCAATTATGCTGAACTTTTGATTTCATTCAATAGAACTGATGACAATAACTTCAATTTGACTATCAATCATTTTAACATGAAAGCATCCAAATTTTGTATTTTCTTGTACACAAAGCCTGCAATTATATCAGGAGGACCTGTAATATTCCCAATTTAGTCAAGGTCCTCGTTCCTAATATTAAATTGGTGAAGTTGATGTTTTCTGGTTTCTGCTCCTGTACAGCAGAGAATTGTATCATATTATTGTTAATATTATTAATTGTTGTTGTTATTGTTGTTATTATTATTTATATTTTGTTCACCCATGATATTGCACCTCTAAGATGATACTCAAAATTTTTAGTGCCAATTCATGTAACAATCGAAAGTATGTCATTACAGTTTTCTCTTACTGTTATGTAATATATAATTATAGTGAAGTATGCTGTTATAGTGAAGTCAAATAGTTGCTAAGAGGAAGATAATATTATTTTCCTATTTAATTTATGCTTGAAATTGTGATATGTGATGAGATCATGATAGGTGTGTCTTGTAATTAACATGAACAAAACTACTAAATATAAATTTGCCAAATACTGACAATAATATATTGCTAATTTGTATAAAATGTTGTAAAGTTCATTACTATATTCCCTGAACATTTTCAGATGTTTCTATATTTCATTTGCAGAGTTCTATATTTTCTTACCCATTCCTTTTCTCATCCACTTTATTTAATTTATTTGCCATCTTTTGTCAAATTTATTGAATGAGAGCATAACTCTGAAGAAATTGAAAGATACAACATTCTGAATCAAGCATAGAACAGCAAAAATCTGCATTTTTAATGTACACAAAGGCAACATTAAAAATGTAATTAATTAATTCATGTGTTTATGAACATGTACTACTGGTATTTGATACATGAGTTCTCTGAATTTCAAGGGATCATCATTTGGCCAACTCAAGGCAGATGGCCAGATAATGTTCGTGACTATACATCCATGACCAGTGTTTTTTATAACATTATTTTATTAAAATTCTGATTGTTTATCAAGTGTTTACAACAAACCTGGACAGTATATTTTTGAAAAAGATCCCAACAAGGATTGTACATCAAAACTAGATAAATTGTTAAAAAATATTATAGTGTCTGCTTTTATTAAGGTTAGGAAACCATTACAATTAAATAATCATGATAACACATGTAAATATATTCCTTAACATTAAATTGTGCTCTTTTCAAGAAAATAGGTTTGTTGTGTTACAACAGTACTCCAGATAAGTAATGATATGAAACATAATTTTTAATTCTAAATAAAAAAGCAAAGTTATTCATGTAGCTCGTGGAGAGGCAAAGAATGATCTAACTCCAAATCCTCATAGAAACTTAATCAATTTTCTCTCTTTCATTCAGACAAAGTTTCTAAACCTATTCAACCACTTTTTAATAACTCTAAAGACTTTCTAAGATACATAACCAACATCACCTACAGAAGAGAATGGCTCTTGATTATGTCTTTGAATCCCGAAGCCATTATATGGAGTATAAAACCATGGAATTTATTGAGTATTTCCTTTAAATAGTAACCTATACCTGTCAATCCATTCATTCCTTGGCAAGGTGTAGTTGGCATGGAATCAATAAAAATAGTTCTTCGCTTCAATAATAAGCCTTTCTTATTTTGTGAAGCAGCTTTAAAGGGGTTAGCCTTCATCATTATATTTGCATGCACTTGCCTATGAATTACAGTAACTATTTGATGCTAATTCGATGACAACACTACAGTCTGTGAAGATAGTCAAATCAATAGAAAATATGAATAAAAAATTAATAAGGAAATAGAGGGTTAGCAGTCACAAAAATTTTTTCACAACTTTTTAAATTCTCAGTTAGCTACTCTACAATCATATTCTTTCAAGAGTATTTCTCCACAACTGCTTAATCTGATGCAAATTTATTTTTAAATATTTAACTAATTAGCATGATATAGTTTGTTTGTTGAACACACACAATGTGTGGCAAAGGGAATGATGATGATTTTGAACTGTTCTACAATGACTTAAAATACAACCTGAAATTTATAAATAAAAAGACTCTCCCATCAAAATTTTTGCCGAAAATCCTGATTTCTCTTTTAAAAGGCCTGCAATAATTATATAAAACATGTTTTGTATTATTCTATTCTAATTATTATTTATTAATTTCTCAGTTTTTATCACCTGTCCAAACTTTAAACTTTACAATGAAACATCTTACGCTTAGGATACATATATAAATTATGGAACGCAATTTTGGAGTATTACATAACACACTTTTGGAGTATACCCCCTTTTCCCCCATAACACATCTGTAGCGCTGGGTGGTGATTAATTTTATTTGAATTATATATTAAAATTACGACAAATTAAGTTAGAATTATTTGGTGAAACTGACTGCACCTACGAATAAGTTTGGAGAAAATTTTAAGTGAAGGAAGGGCACATAGGCAAGACAAATTCTGACAAACATGTATGGGCAAGAGAGTGTAGTGCATATTTTATTGGTTCTGCCGTAGATTGCAGATCATTTTTAAATATCTCCTTTGTAATCTAATAGATTCAATCAATATATCATTAAAATTTTTTTTTTTTCATTTATTGTAATAATTACATCATAATTTCTCTAATTTATTTACATTTTTTTATTTAATTTCTTAATATTGTAATGTCTATGTGACTGAATAAAAGGAATTATTTCAGCAAGTGTTGAAGAAAGAAAAACAAATATATCAACATTATGTAACACTAAGCTACAATACCCCCAACCCCTATGTAATGAAGCATAACACTGCCTCAAACCCCCATCCCCCTCCTTAGCATTATGTAA